ATTAGATTTTAGACTGTCTTCAGCAAAACGACAGCGAACGATTTTTCAATTCATCTACAGCTTTTTAAGTTCTGACAGCCAACAAAGCAGTTTATTTAGTTATAACGCTGTTTCGTCCTTAAATCTAAACGAGCGTTCATTCTCCTGAAAGCATACACAAAACAAGTGGCACTAGCAGGATATTTACTTGTTTTACCGCGCTTTAAACGATCCTAAAATCAATAACAGCGTGTAAGTTGATACTAATTCACGAGTAACACTTATGCCGTTATTATCTCTAATCTACTCTAATCGTACTTCCAGTTGTTCAGCAGTTTGCAACACGACCTGGATGCTGCGTCGAAGTAAATATTCCTCGCAAAATGCAGACTTATTTTAATTTTGTCCCTCAAGGTTGCACGTCATTTTCCTGGACGACTTTAACGAAACCCAAACCAACTGCTGAACAGTTCTTCATCCAACGTGTGCTACTCTTAATGATAAGAAACCGCCATATATCTTCAGTGATGTCACATGTTGCTTAACTCATCCGCTGCATGGTAGTTTGTTGAATATGAGTTTAAGAATGTTCAGGAGAGGCCTTTTTACTGCGGACTGAAAATTTTTTCGTATGCCAGCTGTCGCACTATAAGTACAAAATGGGCAAACTTCTTATTAAGAACAACGTAATACCCTGAACGGCCGTGAGATATGGACCGAAATACTAGAAGCTTATCGTCTGAAAAATCTATTTTGTGTAGTTTTGCTTAACCGCTTAACTTGGTTGCATCTGCAACTGTTGGTAGATATTCGTTTATAAGAAAAAGTGCACTTTCATTATTAGTGTACTGAAGAGCCACATGTTACATGTCCTTGTTTTTAATGATCAGAAATTAATTTTTCGAAACATCGCTTTCAGAAATTTGGTGCACGCGCACATACACGAAGCTATAACTGATGTTCGGACCGCTCAAAATAAATGGAACCAGCGACACTACACCTACACTGAAATGTACGCATCGTACATGTCCCGACGTGAAGCATGTTTTAAGTCTGTATGTCATGATTTGTAACCAAAAGCTGGGTATGCATCGATCAGTCATCAGTAAAGTTTTTATAACAGATGTTATAAATTAATAATTGCTGTCGGCATGTTGTTCAATTAACCTGTCCTGCGTGATCAACGCACCATAAATTTGAACCTAGCACAGTTTTTAACCTCTTAAAATATCACCGATTTGCCAGGAGGCGAATTTATTTCAGTCTAATACCGAGGGAAGTTTATTCGGTCAGTGAATATGGCAAGTGCTAGCTAAAATGCAATGCGCATTCATTTAATCAGGAACGCGATAGCGCAATCTTCTACTTAACTATTCACTTCAACTTGATTAAGTTCACTTTCACGGTGCGAAAGAAGCTCCAAAGAAGAAGCAGACGGACAACGCAAAAATTCCCGCCGCACTGACAGCCAGATGAAGTGACATCACTTTGATCAGCGATGCGCTTGACCATTGACCACCGCTTTGCGCACGCGTAATGGCGTACGATTGCAACAACTATTCAGAAGTTGCCACAACAGCTGAAGCTGAATGACAGCATGCACGAGTGCGGACGTACAGGTGCCCGATGAACTAGGCGGAGGGAATAATTCCCCGCGGGAGCATACTATATCTTAGAGAGAAGGAGTGACATGAATACCAACTTACCCTGGCACGTTACCTTGGCGATATTGCCTCGACTAGTAAATAGTACCTGCTGAAATCGGGAATAAGCGACTGGCATGGCTTCAGCTCCTTCACCTGAGGCTGGTGGGCATTGCGTGACGACTTGACCGTAAGGTCCAGTGGCTGGTCGTCTGACAGTGTCGAGACGGCTGCTCCATCGTCTGCCGTCGTTGTATTGAGCACATCATTCAATAACGGCTGTGTTATGGTATCGGTACTGGTCCTTGACTGACAGTACGGTGTACTGTAGAACTGGTGAATGGGTAGGAAGGAGCATATGGCCATTTTCTGCCACTCCCTTAGCAAATGGTCGAAGTACATCTGTTCTGAAACAACTTCAACTGTTACAACGCGACTCATGCGACAACACCATCAATATACGTTTTACCTGCGCTAGTAGGAGCTACCTCGGCGACGGGTGTCGTGCGTTCGTCAGTGCCTTTGTCCACGTCGAATGCGCTCGGCGACGTCAAAGAGCCACCCAAAGTCGTCTTTGCTTCATCGGATGACTTTCCGGAATGGCCATCCGCAGGGGAGGTGCTGCTGGCCAAGACCTGAAACTGTGTCATTCACGAAAGCCGTTCAATGGCCAGTCAATGAGTGGCGGCAATGAACAAGCCGTGAAGTAGTTACTTGCCTCTTTCATTCTCTGCCAGCAGAAGAAGCAGCTGTCTTCTGGGTTCCAGTCGTTTGGCGGGCCGGCTACAATGAAATGATCACTGTTGCGATACAGGCATACACAGATACACGATGCAAAAGCAGCGCAGCAGCGGTGGCCATCGTCACCGACCAACAGCAGCGCCATCTGGCGAGGATGGCAACCCCGGGTGGCGACTGTCCGCATGACGGTGAGCCATCGCTACTTTTATGGCCAGTGGACAGGTTGGTCGGTACCAAAAGACTCGTTGTTGCGCGCGGCTAGCGACATGGAGGCGCACTGACTTCAGTGTGGGCAGCTCAGTTAATAGAATCAGCTGCGCGTGGCCAAAAGGCTACTACGAAATTCATGGTTGCTTTATCGTGGCGAGCGCCGTATGGCGAAAGTGGCAGCCCAGCGTTTCATAATTAAGCAGTGCGGTGCGCCAACAGTCGCTGAACAGCGAATAAGGCGAGACCGGCAACGACCGAGCCCACTGTCCAGCTTTTGGTCGTAAGAAAGCCGGACGCACGCCCAAACGCTGTCGCTACAGGCGCACGCGCGAACGGGCGCGCGTCCCGCAGCACTAACATCACATGATGATCAATGATCAATCAGCGTACAGATCAGTTACCGTGTGGGTGGAGTGAATCGAGTAAAATAGCACCAGCGACAGCAGTGGTCTTCGAATGGGACAGGTCAGCTATCTGATCGGCTACCTGCTCCACGCCTAAAATAACGAGCACCTTAGACAATGCCACACGCATTTCAGCAGTCGTCGGAAGATAATCAGGGAAGTAAGGTATGCGAACAGAGGGGAAGGTACATAAACGAAGGCAGAATCCTCTCTCTGGACTATTTCTTCCTTGCAACTGTCTTCACTACGCAAAACAGACGGCTGCCGCACTTGTACCGCCACACAATAACTCGCCGCCAGCCATCTGACCGCACGCAGTAGACGCGCGCTTTTTCAAATGGATATGGAAATTAGATGGCGGTACGGGCACGCAGTGCGGCTGTTTCTTTAAGCTGTGCTTGCTGGTTGTTGTCCATCAGCCTTCAGTCGGCGAGATCAGATAGAGGCCTGGCAGATGAGAGAAATCCCTTCGTCGGGAAACCACAGTACCTACAGAGCACTGTTAATATTTTCAGGTGATCCCAACCGACCGAGTGACCGATCGGGCTAAGGCAGGGCAAAAATTGAAACGAAAGGGTGAGCTCACTAACTTATATCGATCAACTATGATTGAAGTTATTTTATGCAGCGATGCCAACAGGGCAGAAACTAGAAATTATTATAGATATTCCGACCATCGGCAAGTAGAATGAGAATGGGGCGGAAATGGAG